TAGTTTAGTATTCGTTCAACTGTTGACTTTTCTTCAAGTTTTTATGTACACAAAAACAATACAGTAGGCATTAATTAAAGATCTGACAGCATTTTCCTTTGTCCTACTAAACCTTTTTTGTACTCGGAAGCCCATTAATTAAGTAATACCTGTTACATCAAAGCCATTATACTATCATCTTTCAAATCCGCAAGCAATTTGTCCCTGCCTTTGTCTATCTCTCAGAAATGTTTCAGACTACTACCCCGGGCCTTCTCTTAGAAACAGATCTTCCTCTCAGAACAGTGCCCCCTCGTATGAAGTGTATTAAAAAAGCATTTTGTGACCAACAGCAAAGAGGCAGGTATATAGTCTCAGGTGGTACGTGTTTTCTGGTCTGGGACAGTAATTAGATTATGGCCACGGGTCCATGAGGATGCGTGTGTTAGCTGTTGGCTCGGAAAAAAACATCCGGTATAGCGGACCTGCTTTAACAGTTCCACTTGTACTCTTTTCAGCGGACATAATGCTTTAATAAAATATTGCCGACTGTGTGCAGGAGTAGCGCTTTGAAGGCTGCCTGCCGCCTGCCTTCCCAGGAATCCTTGGCTCCTTGGCCATACCTTTCACAGCGGCAATGCTTGCTCGTACCTCTCCCAGCTGCTGTGTAGGTAGAGCTTTTGGTTTTGGCTTATCCGTAAACTGCAGCAGCGTCTCCCCCTTGTTTTTGTTTAGAGAGAGAGCAACCTTCTGTGTGCATAAACAAGCAGCAGAAGTTTACCCATCATAACCAGGCCATGACCAGTGGAGTTGGTGGGGTTAGGTGGTGGTGGCCTCTAGGAGTTCATGAATGTTCCCTCGGTCACAGAGCGGACAACAAAGTCATACCAGGGTCTGCTCCGTCAATAATCTGCCAACAGCCATTTGTTATACCCGCTGGAATGACACAGTAGAGGTGCTGGTTTGTCCACATCAACAACATCATTATCGTGTGCCATCTACGACTGTTTTCGCTGGCATTTATAGGGTATCTGGGGTATATTGTATGCATGAAAATTAACACAGAAGATCGAAGGTTAGATTTATAAATATCTTGTGGGTAAAAATAACTATCAGAATTATCAGTGCTAAGCATCTCCTTGTCGAGTAACTACTCTAATCGATTCTAACTGGATTTGTTATTCGAGTTGATTATCCACCACCAATGACTGTGCCAGTGTTCTCCGTAATGTCAGGGCCTGGCAAATTGGAGTCTGTCCTCATCACAGACATGCTTAATTAGCCATCAATATTCATTATTTATGGGATAAAGGAATGAAGGATTAGCTTTAGCTGCAAGCTGACAGGAATATTGAGAGCTATTGGCATGTTCTTCAAAGCAAAATGTCCAGAAGCTTTCGACATCAGCAAAAACAATTTCCAAAGAAATCTATTGTGTGTCATTTCCATTCACAAAGTTTCCTGGAATAAACATTCCTTAAAGATGCCGAAAACCTCCTGGAACAGACATTCTACTTGCGAATAAAATGTTCCATTAAAATCAACAGCCATATGTCCTTTTACCACAGGCCATTAAGCCTTGGGAGTGGGGACCGAATTTAGCAACTTTGGGGACTGCAAATATTGAAAATAAAACACAAGAGTCGAAAATTGCGACAGCAAGATAAACAGCAATTTAATAAAGTGACCCAAAAGTTATGGGCCCAAGAGCTGAGGGCTGAGCGTAAAAATAAACAATAAAATGCTCATTAAAAAGCAAAAAATACCCAAGATACAAGCGGCTGAGCAAGCCGAAACGGAAATAATAAGTGTGATATTAATACTTGTTCGTGGAACAAAAGAGAACGAGCCGAACCCTTGGCCTACACTCAAAGCCTCAAGCACACACAACACCCACCACACTCGAGAACCCTCACACCCATGGAACCGTTCTCTGAGGGTCTCCCCCAAACCCACTCCTCTCCCTGTTCTTGCCTGAGGCCGAAGCCCTGCCAATAACTCAACAAGTTAGCAAACATGGCTGCTTGGCTTCTTTATGGGCATCCTCAAGCCGTCTATCTTGTGGTTTTGTCGTCGGTTTTTGCATTAAAAATGCATTAATCTTTGGACACGTGATAAATATTCATGGATGGTGGCTGTGTCCTATAATGTGTGCACTTCTTAAATGCAGCCTGTTGACTGACTGGCACGCAATATGTTTCGGGGGCCCAGAATGTAAGACGAAGGTCGAACAAGAGCTCGAGGTCTAGGTCGAGTTGGCAGGTCGAGGGTACTGCTGAGTGTCAGGGCCATATACGTGTGTTTGAAGGACATACTCGTGTTTGAGTGCCTCAGAGTTTCACCAGGTTAACCAGCCTCCGGCACAGTAATTTCCCGACGGAAGTCTTTTCTGGCTTTTCAGATATACTGCCATGGAAATTGAAATCGTTAACTGGAAGCAGATTCGACCCCAACCAGAAGGCCAGCATATGTTGGATTCCAACAGGAGCGGAAGAGTAATTTAATTAAAATACGTCGGCTTTGAGGGAATTTATCAGACGGAATGCACGCCGCGACGCACCGGTCGTATACGCTATGCAATCACGCTAATATGTAATCAAGAGAGAGCCTGTGTGAGGTGTGTGTGCTTAAGTAAAGTGAAACGGATAACAAAATGTGCTTAACCCCCCACAAGGTGTATTTAAAATACTGAACGCAAAGGCTCAAACATCTAAATGCCATACAGAAAGGTGTGTACTTTAGAGGCAATCTCCGTGTACCGGAAAAACTCATATTTTAAGCAAACATTTTTACGGCAGAGACAAAATGAAAATGGTAAATTTACATATAATAAAGTTCGATTACCAATGTGAAGAAAAACGAGTGGCCATGAGTGCCTTTTGGCTTCATTTCCTATTCCCATTGAACCAAACAAAGCTGAGTTCTAACAAATTTTCCTTTGAAGTGATGCTTCTGGGGTAACTCTAAACCTATCCATCAATGCAGGATACTGAGCGTTGAACCTTTTGTTGGAATTTGCCCCATAACATGCTGTTGTTAACTTTCAGAACTAAACTTTTTCACTTAAACTTTCGACAGTCGTTGGAAAAGCAATTTAGTTTTCCCAACACGATTCTATTACACTTTCCCAACAAAAGCAAACATTAGACAACAACTGCATTTCAATAAAAACTGAACATTCTTCAACATAATGGAGCTGCTTTTTAGTAGTTTTTAGCTCAAATCCGAATTTGGTCACCAACTTTGTATGCAAATGGGAAACAGCAGCTGACACCTATTCGTTGTTTATTTGTAAATCGGTGACACAAAACCCGAACATAAGCCGATGAAAATAATTCTTGTTTTCCGTTTAATACATTTTCCGCCACAATATGTTTCCAAAATCCTGTTCGTTCAACGTGGCGAATGCGCAATATGCTCTATACGAGTCGCAGTGAAGGGCATACCGACCGTTCTTTTCGGCTCCTGATGAATTTACGAAAACAATTTCCTTATTAGTTGGCCGTTCATTAATTTTTGATTGAATACCCACGTTTTTTGCACGGTTGTTAAGTGATTTTAAACAATATATCCACCGTGTACGTTTGGGACTCACGCGCTTTAACAACTTCGTCGGTGCGTTGCTGAAACTCGACTGTTAGTCAGTCGCCAAAAATTACACGCAGTTCCCCCGATGTCATTTTCATCATACACACATTTAGGTGAAAGCCACACAGAGACTTTGGGGGAAACTTTTACAACTCCCGCATCCCAAAGCAAAAGTTCGTTGGGAATTTGAACTGAATATTAGTCGCTGATGCAAACTAGACCGAAGTGCTTGATAATTATATACACTAAGTTAAGTAATATATATTCTATAGCATTCAGAAACTTATGGCATTTTGAACTCCTCATCTAATGAGTAGACAATAATCCCTTCGTCATGGAAGCTCTCGTAAAGCAACAGCTGGCACATTTGGCAAAAAGCCCGCTCAACGGGAAGTGTATTGCATGGAAAAGCTTCGCGCTTACGGAAGCTTTCTTTACCGTTACTCAACGTTGCCACGTTGCTTATAAATTATCATTCCCTTTTGCTTTTGAATATTATTTATCTTACTCATCTCGATAAACAGCCAAATGTCAAGCATTCAAAAATTTAATTTGAATTCCAAAATAAACTACAGAATTACAAAAATATTTAAATTGAACTTGTTATATTGAATAAAAATAGTAGAGTATTTTTGCTTTCGCATATTTTCGATTCTTTTATTTAAATATTAGTGATTGAGATCCGCATCCAAGTATGGCGTATGCGCTGTCCATGGACTTGAAAGATTGTTTAAATATTCCCATTTTTTTACGAATTTATTCGCTTTAACTTAGGAGGTCCATGGACTTGAAAATGAAAGCAAGCAAAAACACGCTATAATGTCAAACCATTTTGAAAAAGTCTAAAATGCAATCTTTGACCTTATAGTAATCTTTATTTAGACCATTCAGATTGTGACGCCTCATCATTTGTTTGGGAATTGTCATCGTCGCTTACCCAAAATCTGACGCACAATTCTTAAATGATAACCCCAAAAATAGGGTTCAGATTGAGATGAATGTACATAAATGTACCGAACTCTCATCGTTCTCATGCTTGTTCCAAACGAACTCAAAGTCAAAGTCAAGTGGCTTAGCCTAGTTCTCCATCAAGTAACTCTTACATTAAACATTTATTGTGGTTACATGGCAACAAAAGATAACAATGACTTATTGAATTGCCAAACCGAACATCGCAACTGGACCTCATTCGAAAATATAGATTTCTGTTACGCTTGCCATCGGTGAGAAGTAGTGGGAATTTGAAGGTAGATTTGCAATTTCTGATAAGTTTTTCTGGCTTTTGTACAGACTGAAGTCCATTGGAAATATAAATTAGGATCAGGCGTTGTTGGAACCTAGGAAAAAACTTGATTATACAGCATTTAGTACCAACCCAGAAAATCGACAATACCTCAGTTGTCTCTTTCTCATGGCACGTTTCAGCAAACCCATTTCAGAATTGCACAATCTCTTTATATTTTAAGAATTGAATCAAAGTATGTTTTGATATTACTTTTAAATATATAAAGTTATAAAGGCTAATGCATTTTGCTGTTACATTTACGAATCTCCGTGGTAAACTGTAGGTTTAGTGATGCTTTTGCTTGCAATCGGCTGTATATTGAATTCGATGTTTAAATTTAACTTAAAATAATAAATATCTATTACATTTTTACTCACATTTCTTGGAACTACGTTTGTGTCGTCGGGACTTTCCGGCCTTCTCGCCCATTTTACGGTAGGCGTCCTTCTTCTTGCAGCTTAGTTTATTCCAGGATTTAGCCCCGCTGCTAACCATCTTCCGAGGGGACAAGCCGCAGTGCCGCTGTTTATATTCACGCAGGAAATTCAAAAAGCCGTTATTTGTGATAGGTCCAACTTTCTGAGGTGCATATTTTTTCTTTTCGCTCCTTTTTGCACAACCCATATTTTGACGAAAAATAGTAAATAGAATTATCACAACAAATTTTGGCAGAAAACTTCTAACAATATTGAAAACAAACTTATTTAATTTATTTTCTTAAAAAATTGTTACGTGTGTACTTGACTGTATCTAGAAACTGTATGCCAAAACCTACTTTCCGCTGGAACTAAACACGTCACTTTCAAATTCAAGGCACAGGTTGTTTGCATTTTTTTTTAATTGTTGAAGCAAGGTGCTCAAGCTTTATATTTTTAATTATATCCATATAAAGTTCGAATGGTAATGAAAAGTTTTGTAAGTTTTCTAAAATATATTGTGTATAAACTATATTTAAATATTTTCAGTTTTGGTCAGAATCTTAAACTAAATTGGGAAAAAAAAAACCAATAAATCGATCTATAACCCTATACTGCTTCTCTTTATGGCTCCATCATTCTCATGCTCGTTCCACACATTATTTGATACGTCTGAGGCCTGACCTCAAAGTCAAAGTCAAGTGGCTTAGCCTAGTTCTCCATCGAGTAATGCCTTTCCATTAAACATTTGATGTGGTTACATGGGGGGGGGGGAAAGATAATACCGACTCATTGAATTACCAAAACCGAGCATCGAAACTTGACCTCATTTGAAACTAGAGATTTCTCTGACGTTTGCCATCGGTGAATAATATTTTTGTTGTGTAAAATTCAATAGTTTTTTTAAATTTCTATGGCGTAGTGGGAATTTTAGTTTACCTTGCAAATTCCTGATGGGTTTTGTCTGGCTTTTCTAGAAATTAATGAATAAATTTCATCAGCTCAGAAGTTTTATAACTTGTGATTTAAAAAAAAAACTCGCAGATAGTTGAAATAGTTCAAAAGCGTGGCATAGTTTTCAAATTCAAAGCCAAACGTTTTCAAGTTCAAAGTTTTAGTTGGCGATAATGTAGAAATAATTATCTCTGTTCCCATTTCAATTAAAATGGGAACAGGCCTCAGCCTGACAAAGTTACTCACTAGCCACTCACTTTTGAGTGTATCCTCATTATGGTAAAGACAATCAAATATTTGAAGCCTGTGTGTCTGATTATATTTAAATGTTTTTTTTGCGCTGCACCGATGCACGTTTGACTTGGGCCAATAAATCAATTGAAATACTGATAAGCCCACAAAGTGTTTCCCTTTTGAATAATCTAGACTGTTTGTATGCAGTACTTAAGTAAGTATTTAGTAATTTAAAAGGTTTCTAAATAGAACAAGTTTATTATGTTCCTCTGCCCCGCAGCATGCGAAAATGACTCACACTCGCCTAGTTAATTGTTATTGTTATAAAATATCAGCCCAATTGGAGGCCCTCCCATGAATATTAATGAAAACACGTTTGCTTATATGAAGCTATTGAATTATGATGATCACCGAAGCAGCAGATCTTCAGAGCAATTGCGCTTCGTATCGTTCGGTGCTTCGGATCTTGATCTTCGATTGGTTCGTTCAATCCCGAACTCTTATCAGCTCTTGATTCACGTGTTTTCATTTATAAAACGATTACAATTGCTGGCATGAGTGACACTCGACTGCCAGTGGCGACCCAAGGCGCAACGAAACTGGACCCCAGGCATAACCAACCAAGCAGAACATAAAGTGACAGCCCCAGCCTAGACTCGACTTCGCCGCTCTGACGGGTTCGACAGCGATTGCAGAAATCATAGTACCGGAAAAAAGTGAAAGTCAATTTGTCACGTGTAAAAATGTCATCGGGATTGACAAATCTCTTGCAATCTCTGCGAATTGTGCCGCTGGGACATGGAAAAGGCAAAGCCAGCAAGAATGTTGTTGTTGTTGCCACAGAGAAAACAATTCTCAAAGGAGAAGAGCTAGCAGAAATCACACTGGAGGAGGTGGCCCAACACGACAGCTTCGATGACTGCTGGATTGTGATCTACGATCGGGTGTACGATGTCACACTGTTCCTGCGCGATCACCCAGGCGGTGACGATGTGATAATGGATCATGCCGGACGCGATGCCACCATAGCATTCCACGGCACTGGACATTCTCGGGCTGCCATTGAGCAAATGCGTGAGTTCCTGATTGGAGAGCTGCCAGAACCGCAGCGCATCTTTCGCACAAGCCACAACAACCGAGTGCTGTCCTCGGGCATACCGGAATAGTGATCCACAGTCCGATCCATAGATCACTTCCTCTTCGATCCACTCGCAATGCCGCCGTCCATCTACGCACATTCGTATACTTATATATTTCTTAAGAGTATTCTATTTCGTTCCTATTTCGTTAATCAGTTTCCAGTTTTTGCAATCCGCAAATTACTTTTGCTTTATCATCATCATGCCATTCAGCGAGTATGTATACACTCGTATTTATATATTTTGTGTTTTATACTCGTATTGTTTTTTCAAGACTTGAAACGGAATTAAGATTAAATTATTGTATTTTAATAGTGATTGTGGTGTTTGCATTTTCTGATCTAAATGGGTCTAAGTTTATGAATTGTTCAGTTTTGAATCGAGTAAGATTTCTTGTGGTAAGTATTTACAATTCTATTCAATTGCAAAATTTCCTCGCTCCTCCTATAAATTTCGCATTGCTCTCTGTAATTATCATGAAATACGTAATACTTTATTTGGTAATATTCAACTTACATCGTACATTGACATCATATAAATGCGCACAAAAGAAATGCTTATTAAAGAACTAAATATCACTCAACAGATTCTCATTTGGCTGCTCTGGACAGAAATCTTCTCAACCGCCATTTCGTCTGACTAGAATTATTTTCCTTTTTCGAATTGACTTAAGAAGTATTGCTTGTTTATCGATTGCTTATCAGAAGAACATATAGATGGGAAATACATATTTAACTGCTGCTGCTGGTGGGCGGCTCATGGTGTGGCCCTTGGAGCAGGGCCTGCAACTTGGCAGCTGCTGGGAAGGCTCCCAAATCCAGAGGAGCAGATCCAGTTGTGGTTTGTATGTAGGCCAGAAGTCTGCAATAGAAGTACATAGAATAATCATTAGAAACAAAATCAAGATGTTTATAATCCAGTCCTACCTTCGCAACTCCTCAAGGGCATTCTGCTGCATGAGAATGTAGTTCTTGGCCAGCAGCAAGGTGGCAATCTTCGAGAGCTTCCTCACCGACGGCGAGTGGGCATAGGGAATCACACTCCTCAGCTCATCCAGTGCATCGTTCAGATCGTGCATCCGTCTACGCTCCCTGGCATTTATATTCAATCGCACAGTCTTTCCTTGGCGATTCTTCTGCTTGCCACCATTCGTTCCACTGCCTCCGGGTCCGCCACTTGAACCACTCGAAACGGCCACTGTGGTGGTGCCACCACTGATGGCAGCAATGGCAACGGCTGTTGGACTCAACGCCTTGTCTGCTCCACTCGGTCCGGGCTTGTTCTCATCCGTGGGTGTCATGGTCTGCTGCGACATGCCCATTCCTTGTGCGTAGAAGCCACCCAGGCCCACGGACCCCAATGGAGTGCGCCGTCCGGGCACACTCTGGGGCGGACTGGCGGTCGGCGCAGGATGTACACCACCCAGCATGTTGGCAGTCGGTGGTATTGGCATGTGTCCGTGGTTGGGAAGGCCGGGAAAACCAAATGGTAGATTGGATGGATCCATTTCAATAGATTTTGTAATTCTGAAAGGATAAATATGCGCAGATGAAGGGATGTTGTGCTATGATTTCGAGTTAGTCACTCGAGTTCGAGTTTCGAAACTAAATTACTAAATTACATAGCACTGCCCCTTTGACGAAAAATTTGATTGGCTGAAAGTTGAAAAGTCGGAAAAAAGTATTAAAAGTATTTATTTTCGATATAGAATTTCAAAGTACATGGCGGGATGGAATGTAACAGGAAGTAAATCTTAAGATCTTCAAGGCAATGTTCTGGGCAGGCAGTTGATAAATCTTTTGAAGTAATTTTGTATTACAGGTTGTTGAACTTGCCTGAATTTTTCAGCAGAGCCTTGAAGATCTTAGTATTAAAGATTCTTCCTATTTCCCGCCAAGTACTTTCAAATAAATACTCAAAAATAAATACTTTTAATACTTTTTTCCGGCTTTTTGCGCCACCTGGCGCCGTTTTAGTGCAACACAGAGCTTCCGTAAGCTGTTTCTAGATGGCGTTCCGCATTTTATTTAACACAATTTGTTGTTCACTTTATTTCTATAAGTTCTTAAATAATTTAAAATTTAAATATCACAAATTGTTTAATGTATATTTATATACACAAATAAATATATGTCACCTACAATTTCAATTATTTATTCCTCTGTTTATTTCACTTGTTATTTAATGTTCTCTCGATGGCACACTTTAAGGATTATTTATTTAAATTAACCACACAGACCGAAAAGAAAATGAGGAATATAAATATACATTTAAAACGTACGCACCGCAAACAAAAAATTATAATGCGCCTGCCGTGTCAGAGCCGAGGATAGCGATTCCGATTCGCTGCGATGCGCGAGTGTGAGGTTCCCGGCAACAACAGACGACCGCGAATTTGTGGTGGTTTATAGTAGTAGTCGCATAACGATTTTCCGATTTTTGCCTTGTTTTGTTTGTAGCTCCCTGCTCTGCTGATGCTGCCGCAGCCTCAGCCAACGCGGCGCTGACGCAGCGTCGATGTCGATTATAAATTGCTGCCGGGGTCCGTGTTCCGCAGTCTCCTTGTCGTTGGCTGGGTGTTAATCTCAGTCTGTGTGAGAATATTATGAAGCACTATATAAAAATGTGGGTCGGGCCTCGGTGTTGACGCTGGTGGTTGACGTTTAGTGGTTGTCCCCTTATAGTGCAGCATCCCCCACTTAATGCTTACTCTCGCCCAATACTCTCCCAATCCGAGTATGCCGAAACTGTATGAGTCACAGTCATAGTAGAGTTTTTAATGCTCTCTGAAATACCAATTTTTCTTGTTGTCCAAGTGTTTTTATCGTTGCGCTCCCCGTCCCTGTTTTCCACCCTGCTCGGCACTTACCTCTCATCCCCGTGTCCATGGTCCCAGGTCCTTTGTCTGTGATTTCAATTTCCATTGAAACTGAATCTAATCACATGCTCGCTGCCTGCTGATCCTTGCCCCGTTGCCTATCCTGATGATGATGATGATGATGATGAGGAGGAAAGCAGAGCGACAAAGCCATCGTTTGTGCTGCCATCGCCTTTGGGGGTTGAACATGGCATACAGCTCGTACATCACAGTACATCTGCATGCCATTCGATGCATCTGTGTGTGCGTGTGTGTGTGGTGGTGTCCTATGTACGAGTATGCATGTATTCGTTGTTTGAGAGAGTTGCCTGGAAATTATGGTATCGCATTGTTCAAAGTTGGAACAATGCCATAAATGGCACATGCCAAATATTTTTGGTGGGTTTTCTCATACTCTTTAGAAAGGTATAGCTCAAGAGTCGTGAAGATTCGTCTCGTATTTGTTATGCAAAGTAGTATGTTTTGGTTAAGGATAGTAGTAAATTGTTAAATATTGAATATCAGCTGGCTATCAAGTCTACTTGTGCGTATATATTGCAGGGATACCTTTAAACTTGAGTTCAAAATGAGTTTTTAATATTTACATCAGAATAAAGTGTATTCTAAGCTGCGGGTCATAGTCTTCAGCTCATATTTTATGCTCTCGGTTGGCGCTGGATAGAACGAAAGCCCAGAACTTGACTTAACTTGCTCAATAAGTACCAGAAGCATTAATAAGGTTAAACTTAAAACGATAATTCTGTGATAGATTTTGTTCAAAAAAAGTTCAGGCATGGATTTATCACAGAAGTTTAGTGTATCGGTGTGATGTTAAGGATTTGAAACGATTTCTTTTACAATTATCCCCTGTTTAGTATCCTTAGAAAACTTGTTTTTGACAGGACGTTGACTCAAGCATGAATGCATGCAGCTCTAGGGATATGTCAAACGGAGAGTTAAAGCGACATTCCTAATGACTTCGCGCTTAATAAATGTAATAATTTAGGCTGGAAACCTTGCATTTTTCCATTGTGTGCCCTTCTGCCGTGGTTTTTCGGGACACATTAAAGTAGGGGGAATAATTGTGTCATATGTTCAGTGCAGCGGCAACCGTATGCCATTATTTTCTATAGAACCCGAAATCTGGACAGCCCCTCTAAGCAATGCACCATTTCATCCGTGATTGTGAGAGTTATATATTCCGTTCTCTCTTTTTATAGGATTCGCTCTTTGGACGCTTCTCTCCCTTATTGTAATTGTTCCACGACTAATTCAGTTTTTATGCAGCATTTACATTGCAATTTACGGGCACCACCCTACTTTAAACCTCTGCTGCCCCTCGACCGCTCGGTCGCCAGAATAATTTCGACTTTCAACCCCGTCGCATAGAAAGAAATGTACAATTTTCGGTTTTTTATTTTATTTTATAGCCACACTTTTATCAATATATACATATAGATGGACATTTTTCCCGGTCCTCCTCTGGGTTTTGGGTCCGGGTCCGGGTCCGAGCCCGGCTCTGGCTCTGGCTCTGTCTCTGGCAATGAGGAATTTCATTATAATTTGCATAATTTATGCGCGACCGTGATTTGCATAATTAAGATTTGTACATTTGTGCATGCCAGTCATCATTAGCTTAGGTTCCGCACTGCGGACCAATTGTAAATGGCCAACACAGGGATTTTTCCTGTCCTCATACCTCGTAATCCCAAATGGCAGTGCAAGGGTTAATGTGTTACGCGAGAACTATGTCAAAAACAGGACTTTAAGTTCTAAGAGTCGAATTTGTAACTTAATTTATCTTGATTTTTACTTGTTTACTTATAACGATTCGAATATTTTATTCCCATTCTACCTTATTTCAGCTATGGTAGCTTCCAGTCCATATTCCAACTCAATCATCTCCCACTTGTTTCTTTGGAGAAAATTACGAATGCAAAAGCCTCGGAAAACAAACCGAAAAGCCCAATTTAATGTTGGGGATGCACAAATTAGACAAACCCCATGAAATCCATGGATGTCGTCCATTGGGTATGCGAATGGGTCTACTAACAGCACTCTATGGAGCCATGCGAATCAATCATTAGCATTTTATTGTTGAAAACCCAATTTGGCACATTTATGAGAGCCTTTCTCTTCGGTCGATATTCGACGACTTGTGGTTTTATGGCTTTCTAACCTTATTATCGATGGGCTTTGGGTCCTCTATTGGCAATATTTATGGCACACCATGACGCTTCCCCTAATGATTCCCTAGCGTATAATTTTCAAGGTAGCAGCTACGTTCCTCGCAATCATTAGACGAGCCCCGAACCCCAAACAGACAGCCACACACTTCCACACTTGACAGTCCCATATTTTATTTCGTTATTTTTATTGGCAAACGTCAAGGAAATACAAAAATGTG